AAAAGTAAAAGGCATACGTGCCGGGTTGCGAGGAATTCCCCCGGTGCTTTTGCCTCGGAAAAATCGTAGGCGGGAAGACGAATATTCTCGCGAGAGATAAAAGTTTGATGCCGTGTACGGAGCTGATCTCGGGTTGGCGCGTTTTTTTTTTTTTTTTTTTTTTTTTTTTTTTTTTTTTTTTGTTCTCCCCAGGGAAAATTCGCCAAACTTGAGATTGAGTTTACCGCGTAAGGCCGAAACTTGACGCGTGCACAACCGTTCGCTATATATGTATTTACGTACCTCGAGCGTTTTCCGATAAAAAAGAAATGGCGCGGGAGAGCGGCCATCAGGGTTTCCTCAAAAATCAGATGAAGCGGAGTAAGACGAACGAGTAGGAGAGAGCGAGCGGACGACGATGCGAACTGCTCGTGGATCCAGTACCGGCTCGCTGGCACGCCTTTGCGGAACCAACCGCGCGCCATTTTCTCATTTCCTGCTGACCGGTTTTTCTGCTTCTGTCTCTTTGACGGATCATCCGCGCTACCTTTCAGCCACCAATGACGACTCTATCGGGTGCCATACGTACACCTCTTTTCACTTAATCTTGAACCACTCCGATGTCCGACACACTTAGTATACCATGTCATGTCCTATGCGACCGCACGAATCAAAGCAATCATGGGGATACTTTTCTCTTTTTTCAAACTAGAGAATTTTTTTACTTTCATCGGTAACGATTTAGCTGCGCCACCTTCGAATGGATGGCTTGTATGCACATCGATGTACGGCATCGAGTATGTTTCCTCTGTATACCTAAATGTTGTTTTTTTTTTTTTTTTTTTTTTTTTTTTTTTTCTCACCTCGTGGGTGCACTGAAAAGGGCGCTCTGCACGCGCAAAAGACCATCATCTATTGTTTCGTTTCTCAGCGCCTCCGCATAATACAAAGCCATTCAAACGCCCCAAGGCTGTACTACGGCGAGGCGGAGCTATTGTTTCATAACTACAACCTCCCCTCATCCTCGTTCGTGGCAAATTGTTTTTCCGATTTTAATTTGTACGATTGCCCGACTCGAGTTCAGCAAATGCTCCGTTTTATTTTTTCCTTTTCCTTTTTTTTATACCTACTCGCCACGATACAAAGTTTTTGTTTGTGCTCTTCAAGCGCACGTTCAAAGAAGTGTCGGTGCTTGCAACTCGACCATTCAACTTTGTATACACCTGTCATTACGAAGGAAATCATTTTTACGTAACTGTTTTTCTTTTTTTTTTTTTCAATTATTTCAAAAACTCATAACATTGGGGAGTGTTAACTTTCGTGTTGATAAAAAAAAAAAATAATAATAATAATAAATTCTTCGAGCCCCTATTGCCCCGAAGCCTTAAATGGTTTTCGCAGTTTTCCTCAAGAGAGCTCGATGTCAAAGTTTCTGCCGTCAAAGCTCTTCCGAGGTATTTCATATAGAATCCTTGAAAACTTGTGGATTTTCCTTTTGCAAGGGCTCGATATACCTGATCCATCAAAAGTCGAGGTGTCTTTGACTTTGAAGAGTAAAAAGGGAAAAAAATTTAAAAAATGAAAGATCTTTCGATAAAACTTATGAATTTCCTGAAAGGAAAAAATTTTAATTTCGATCATATTTTAAAAGTACGACGAATGAATTCTTCGTAGTACATAGAAAAAAAAAATAAATAAAAAATATCTACCTGCTATAACATTTTCTTCGAAAGACGAATGCCGTCCTTTAATGAGAGCACTATTACGAGATCTCCCACAATCAAGCTGATTCTAATGGTGCCCCTTGCACTCCAACCATAATTTAGTACTCGAGAATCCTTTGAAATTGGGAGTAACGCTGAAATATTTCGCAATGAATTTGAGGCCACAGCGCGAGTCAAAAACCACCATTGCCCACCTATATTTGCTTATAAAATTACTAAGTTTGTACCTCACAATCCAGATATACCCCCAACTACGTACAAAACAACTCAGTATCCGACGCAGAGCTATCGATTCGATTGAAAATCAAATCGTTGATTGCCTTGGCTCGTCGTAGGTACATAAATTAAGAGCACTACTTGTCCCACGGGGTCGTGCACTGGCACGTGTCAACTGTGTCCATGTCTATACACGCGCGTGACTTTATATCGTCGTACCAAAAAACGGTGTGATGTACATCACAGCGGTGGGGCTTGTTACTTTGCTTTTTACGACCGTAGACGTGAAAACGATCTTATACGAGCGATTGTTTGTTCGTGACATTCTCGATCGATGGTAAGTGTACAACGCCGTTCACATAAGAATCACGTGCCACATCGTTCGTCGCAAATCATACATCCATATTTGAAAAAAATCACCCTCCGTCAAAGAATCAAGTGATTTTGAAAGAAGAAAAAGAAGAAAAAAAAAGATTTAAGTACCCTTTAAAGTCTATTGTTGTCGTGACAAGAATCATAAAGTTAACAGGGCATTGTTTACACTTTCTGCCGGATCGACTATCCATATTAGCCCATTGATCCAACGTAGCATCGGTCGCGTTGACCCTGAACTTTGGTTGTATCGTATCGCTCTCTCTCTCTCTGGGAAGCTTAAAATTATGTATGAAAAAATGCATAGCTTGTGTGACTCGCGAGTTCGTCACGTACCCCCAGACACTTCTCATCCCCTTTAATTTGTAAACAGACGCATTCATGGATATTGGCGTTCTTGGGAAGCACTCGATTCCCCGTGCCGAGCTGTGTACACCCATCAGTAGTAGCACGAGAGTGGGTTCGATTTCACCCTCCCCCCTTCCCATCCCCGTCTTTATATTCAAATCCACTTTGAGCGCGTGTACGGGCCGGTATACAACGAAGATAATGATGTGTACCAGTGCTTCGGGCAAGCTTGGGCGTAAACATCATTTGTCTTCGTGAGCATTGTTTTCTCGATCGATCGCACGTTCATTACGATTTTTTGTCCCATTTTTCTTTCTCTATGGCTCGTGTTTAGGGGATACGTTGCGTGCTTCGACTCATCACCAGAGTACTTTAATTTTAGTAAACAACCAGCAAGGAAGTAACCCAACAACCATATCATAGTTGGTTGTTACTCACTGAGTGTGAATCAGGTAGCCCGTACAGGTGTTGTAGTGGACAACTCATCGCCGGAATGGATGACCAGAGAATTTTTCGAAAATAGGATATTTTGATGGATGCAGATATGCATGTACATACATCGCTACCACCTCGGGGCAAGTGAGACTCGATGATGCATGGGAGCTCCTCCTCCTCCTGCAGGCGCGTCTCGGTGAAAAAGTAGATCGTCACGCGAGAACCAGCCCCGAGGGCACGTAAATTTTACATCGCGATTGATTCTCACTGGACGTGACTCGGTGTTTCATGCTCGTGCACCCCGTCGCCTTAATCATCTCGAATGTTGACTTTGGCTATGCTAATGGTGCGGGCAAAGCGCGGTACGGCGAGGAAGACTCGGACGATTTATCGCTCGAAGAAAGTGCCCTGAGCGAGGTTTTTTCATGGGAACGCGGGAAATGAAGGCTTCGATCCCGAGGTCGAGGTTAATTGAGTTACACGCGGTCTTTGATTTTCATTATAGATACGCTGGCTTCGTATAGTTGAAGCTAGGAGAGGGGGGGGGGGATTTTCGTGTTTTTCTTTCAGAGTGCTGAAATAAATCGAAACTCGTGAATTTTCATAGACACTCGGTGCTCCTGCGTTCAAGTATTGTGACTTGACCACACACGGATACATCTGTACCGTGATGATTAGTATGGACGGTGTATGGAAAAGAAACAATCACCGATTGTAACTTGTAAAAAGTTGCACTTTCTCAATGAAAAGCGCCGAGACATGTTTCAATAAAATCATTGATGGTGAGACGAGTATCTGTTTTTCAATGTTTTGTGCGATTAATTACATTTCATCGACAGCAGTACAAAGATGACAAAGCACAAAGGGACGCGACGACGCTGCTGCCTTTTCAACAATCGGGCGCACGTACAGCCTCCAAGGGTGTCGTGCTTTTTGTTCGGATGAAAATATATTCCACGAATTCGTTTTGTTGCAACAGAAACCAAAAGATGTCACGGGACAATGCTTATCATTGCGCACCGTATGGAGCCGTCATAGGTAATAGGTATTGGGCTCCTGTGGAACACAATTGATTTTACACCAAACGCACGAAGAGAAACATTCGTTTTTCAAGTAGGGAAATGTTTTTTTTTTTTTTTTTTTTTTTCAAAGCAAATCGCCTTTTCGACTTTCAATGAGATACCACAGACGAGCAACTGTAGAGCACCGTACTCCCTTCCTCCCTCGCTCCTTCCACACACCACTCCAGTGGAAAGGGAAACTGCTTCTTTAGTCAGAATTTCCCGTGCGCGCAGTTTTAATTACAGGCACAGCCGGAGGGACGTAACCCCAAGAGCTTCAAACCTCGCTCGTGAATCAGCCAGGCATTCTAATCAAGATTAATGTGTCCGCTTACTTCTGCTCTCCCTTTCATCTTCTCGTTCTCCGCGGATTATTAATTTTACAATTTTACGCGCCATACTGCGTAATTTATAAATAGGTACTAGTCCGTTTTCCCTATGTTTCTTTAGAAAACAATTGTTTACATTTCAAACAACGAGACAGTTAGATTGAAAGGGACCATCGGTTAACTAAATTCAGATTGTGAACCATCGGTCTGACCGAAAGCTGACTCTTACTACTTGCCGGCTGGAGCGGAAGCGACGAGCGTCCTTCACTCGCTCCCGTGGGCTCAAACGTTGTCCGAGCAATCGGCCAATGGCTCTTGGAAATCACAGCACTGTAAATTACCATCGTGGCAGTTGCCGAGCTTTCGCCTATACGCAAATTACAAGCGCAACCTCGTTGCAAACGTTTGACTCGAATCGATGGATTCCCTGATTGTTTTATCACGCACGCGCGCGGGCCAATACGAGCACTTGAATAATTAAATAAACAGATAATTAACTTGTTTTAACGAGTTACATCTTTGTTACTGTGTTTCAGCGAGCGAGCGAGCGAGCATATCCTCCCCGAGGTATCTCGAACTCTCGGTAATCGTTAGATCATCCAAACTCGCACCGTAAGAAGACTGATTCCACCAATGGTAATATTGTCACGGCTGCTCATTACTAGCAAAAATTGTATACCCATATGGTCCCCAAATTACTTGAACATCTCGCAAAAAAACAAAAAAAAAAGGAATTTAAAAAATCACTCTAACCAACAACGATTATTGCAGAGGATGAACGTAGCAGCGAGCCTGGTTCTCTTGCAAACGACGTTCCTGCTGGCAGGTTCCCAGTACCTGAACAACCCGTTCGCCGGTCAGAGGCCCGTATCAGCGAGCAGACAACCGCAGCAGCCACAGCCAGCCGTAGCCGGGCCGGGACAATTGTTTGGCAGCAAGCGCGCCTCGACAGTAGCCGAGCCTACCTGCGAGGAGCTGCGGGCCATGTGGCGCTACAGCAAGCGCCAGTCCCGCGCTGCCGAGAGCACCAACGAGCTCCCCGTGTACCGGGACCCTTTCTCCTACAACGTCTGGGAGGCCTACCCCAGCCGATCGCCGTCTTACTCTGGTGAGCTATAGTTTTTTTTTTTTTTTTTTTTTTTTTTCTTCGAGCTAAAAAAAAAAAAAAAAAAACACGCAGTGTAAAAAGTATAGGTGTTCGCAAGTGTCACTGTAGAACTGTAACGATCGATCGTCGCTCGGAGCGAGGGGTTATCGGGACAATCGTCCGCGCTAAGAGACGACCGAGCACTTGATTCCATTGTGATATGCTGGTGCATTGTTTCGTTACGGCACGCCAAGGCGCATCATAGACAACGTTATTGTATCACCCCCCCCCCTCCTGGGCCAAGTGACGTGCTCTTCGATATTCTCGCGTGCGCGTTTGTTTGCTTCTTCTCTCGACTCGAGACGGAACCATCGGTCCCTCTTTAGATTGACGTGCTCTGTCCTACTTTGCGCAAGTACGTGGTTTTAATCGAAAGGAGGGTAACACTTGTTTTTGAGAGCAAGTGCTTTTCCCAGGGAGATTTTTTATTTGTCAAATTGAATCATGCACGGACGCACATGATGATAATTTGCAACGCCTCTCGAGTCCAGGTTTCAGTACATTAAATACCACACCGTCACCCGCGTGCCCTACTCGCTGTGCGCCCACGTATGGCGTATGGTTCTCTTTACCCCGAACAAAAATCTGAAAAGTGCGTATACATTGGCCAAAAAAGAAAGAAAAAAAAGTGCTTTGCACAAACTCCATTAACCACGAGTCATGTCCGACAGAGGATTACGTAGCGCGCAGTCGTTCGAGCGGGGCACCGATATACGGGAAAATCATGCACAAAATGCCGGCTGGCAGTAGGCCCCGCAACGGGAACGACAGATCCAAGGCGTTCGAGAACTTCATCAAGGTCTACGGCTACGTCAACCGGCACCCGCCTCGGAACCGGCAGACCTACCGAGTCGGCGGTGGTGGCTCCGTGACACCCCAAGCGGGTAGCTTCCAGCACCTCAAGGAACTCATCACCAACGAGAGGGCCCACGAGTTACAAGTCAGTATTTCTTCTTTTTCCTTATTTCTTTCCAACCCCTCCCCCCGCCACCTTCAATTCTTACGCTCGAGTAGTATAGCTCAACGTACGGTCAGACGGACACTTTTCCCCTTTTAAACGCTCTCGCGCGTGCACGTGGATGTGTAGTTGATTTGTTTCACCCTGAAAATACTATTTTCATCACACGAGATACAGAACTGTATAATTTTTAGAGTAAAAATGTTTCTCTCCTATATAATATGTTGGCACGCAATTATTTTCTTTTTTTTTTTTTTTTTTTTTTTTTTTTTTTTTTTTTTTTTTTTTTTTNTGCAGAAAAAAAAAAAAAATCTTTTTTTGCCACAATCGCGCTTTTTGGAAGAAGTTGAGGATTGCTTTAAAACATCAGTTTTTTTTTCTTGAGTTCCACTAAACAATCGTTCGAAATCAAAGCCTTAACAAATTGTACGCAAAAGTGCACTTTTCGTATACGTATATTGTATGCAAATATGGGAGGAAAAAAAAAAAAAAAAAAAAAACCTTTCGTGACGTACGCGTAATTGAGTCGCAAGAAATTCATTCTTTCGAATCGACCAAATGCTTGTGACGTATAGCTTTAGAATCGTGTCGCGCAGAGTACTTTTGTATTAACAATTGTCATTAAAGTCGATTTAACCTTCTTCCCTGTAATATAACACAATAAACAATGACGAGCGATCCATTGTTGGGTGAAACAAATAAAATATGGGACTTGACGCGATTGAGAGCAGTGTGCAATTTGTTCAATTCAATTGCTTTTAGTTTCAAATCTTTGCTTAAAAATCAATGAAATAACGCGTCGAGCGATGCCGATATTGTTCAAACAATGCAGTTTACAAGTACACGCGTGCACAGACGATATGCATTGCATAAACAAGGAAATCCTGATTGTTATTGCACTGCTACCCTACAAGTGTAAGGGGTGATCATTGTTTGAATTAAAAAATTAAAAAATAAAAGCATACGTATAAATTAAAGAAGGAAAGAAAGAAAGTTGAACATCGAAATCGGGCAAGTCTGCGGTACAACGTCGGAGCTCTGTCCTAAGGTACGGGAGTTCTTATTTCATATACAAACATGTACACGTTAGCTCATGATTGGAAGAACAAAGTAGGCGATTTATTTCGATACTCCGGTGGCAATTTACAGGTCAACAAGGGTACTCACTAACTCGAATTCGAATGGATGAAAAAAAGGGTGGTGCATAAATGGCCGACGAGAGTATACGCGTCGGGAGTTATTCGAGAAGAAGAAAGCTTGAAGTTTGGTCAATAATAATGTCGAGTTACAGCAAAGTTGTCTCTAGATGGCAAATTTTTTTTTTTTCAGACAAAATGATATTCCGACATAGGCAATTGGTACATCATCGTACAAAATAGCTTGTAAAAATAACAAGGATATTGTTCGGCCGACATTTTCATTACTTATTTCGGTAAAATCGAGGGGCACCAGTTCCTTTAGACTTTTGGTACTCGCAGAAAGGGAATATCGTCGTAAAGTTGAAGCCAGAAGAAAAAATAAGACAACCCCATTCCATCGTCAAACAAACGAAAAAAAAAAAAAAAAAAAAAAAAAAATGGGGGTGCGGATCAAACAACTCAAAAATACGGGCACACAAGGATAAAAGGAGGATAGAGGGAAATAAGAAAAAAAAAAAAAAAAGTCGTCTGCACGACCGCGCGCGCGAAAAATTCAGTGCACGAGAGAAAAATAGCACTCCCTCCCTCCCACGGCCCTAAAGAAGGGGCGATTTTCCTCCCACGGATCCTTTTCCTATAGCTCTTTCGAGAGCCAACCTGCATCGCACCATCGCCATATCACCAGCAGCGCGCGCGCGTGTGTGTGGCAGAGCGGCAGGTCAAGAGGTGGCTATGACGTCAATCCTCGCGATGCGTCGGGTTATGCCGAGTAGAGCGTGGAGAGAGCCACCCCAGGCCTTTTCAACTGCACCGCGAGTCCTCGTTTTGGGCGCGCGCGGGATGTGTTGTCTGTTTCGAGTATATGCATCAAGGCACTCGCAATGTTAAGTACATATGTATAGGTATATCCTAAGGTAAAAACGAGGAATTGTGCAGAAAATTATTGCGAGTGCGAGAGCGAGTGGAAGCTGCAACAAGGGAGCGCGTACCTGTGGGATCAATTGTACAGTAGTTACAATTGTATTGATCATAAGATTAACTTATTAATGATAAATTACAATTGAAGTGGTTAAATGAATTTTCATTATTTTACACATTGAAAGTTTAATCCTTGTAATTAAGTTATTTTTAATTAACAATGACAAAAGTAATGGGTATATTTATCAACGCCTCCTTCAATTACAAATGTATGATTAATTTATTGTAACTTTGGTCCACCTTTATTACATCCCCGCCAAACTTTTGCGTAAAAGATCGAATATTTTATGATAGATGATAAATTAAAATTAAAGCATACATAAAACTTTTAAACGATATCGTGCACTCGAGCTCATCCGCTCTTCGTGCAAACGATAATGCGGTTATCGGATCCACCGCCAAGAATGGCCGGAAATTAAGTTACCCGCTGCTTGAATATTTAAACAAAATTAAAATGCAAGTCACGTAAATCAAAGAGGATAGATCTATCGATACTCGCAAGTTAAATTCAATATTTGTATTGTTTTCTTTTGCTTTTTTTTTTATGATAAAATTAATCAACTTTTCTGAAAATATGATATCCTTTTTGTTTCGCTATCCTGAAACTCATACATTTGTTTATGGATTTGTCATTCATTCAAACATTAAACGACATCACTATACAAAATTATATTATTTAATTTGTCTATTGACTCGATGCTCGGAAGTAATACGTGACCGAGGGTTTACACGAACCCCGTCAGTTTCTAAGGTCAAATTTGAATTTCCTTTCTAGATATACTAATGTGGATAATAAATATACTTCCGAGAAATCATGAACTACAAAGTGCATTAATACTTTGAAAAAAAGCATATGCATGCCCGGGAATAATAATAATATTAATGATAACTTGACTCTTTTTTGATCGCGATTAAGCTCAGGGTTAAAAAGTTAGAAAGAGCAATTAAGGTTTCTCAAAAGGAGTTGAAATTCAAGCCCCGGTGAAATAAAAAAAAAATGCCAATTACCCACAGAGGAAAAGAAATAAATAAACGCTTTGGCGTTGGCCTTGGCTATTCGCAGGAGCAGCGCCAAGCCGAGGAGATGGCGGCACGCGCGGCCGTGCTCAAGGAGATGACGTCCGGTGAGCACAGGCGCGAGCCCCTCAACCCCAACTACCTGGACTCGCTCCAGGGATCCTACCAGGACCCAAACAGTTACGATTTTGCTCAGTACACCGCCGACGGACCCGAGTTCGGACAATCGTTAACGGTGAGTCGATATTTATTCTGTACAGTCCGATGGACTTTTTGGGGACTTATTACGGTACAGCAACGACAGCACAACCCCTACCTACCCAAAACGAGATAGACATCGTCGGAGGAGTATATTTACAACACATCCTTTGACGGGTCAATTCCCGCTTTCTAAAAATAGTAGCACCCCTCGAAACTCGTTGGGAAAAAAAAGTGTGTACGTCGCGTGCTGTGCGGGTTCATCGAACCCTCGCCCGATTTTTTTTTTTTTTTTCTTGTTTGAGATGTAGAGAACAAAAAAAATCTCGTCAAATCAACCCTATTTTTATCCAGCCAAGCACACACGAGTTGACGAATTAATTTCTCTCTGCTCCAGAAATCCGATCGCTACGGGCGTGAGTACGCGCTACGTTAGACAATAACGAAAGAATAAAGATGACGTGGAGAAGAAGAAGAAGAAGAAGAGAAGGAGGGCAAGAAGCGCTGTACATTTGTGTGTTTTCTCTTGCGTTTGTCCAACACGTTGAATGAACGCATCGTCACCACCACCGTCATTAGGCGTTAGATCTACACTGCTGCTATACGACTCTTTTTTTCTGGGCGCATACATGTAGGCGTGCACGAGGTCTGGGACGCAAAAAAACGTTGACCGAGGTTTTCCTCCTCGCGCGGGGACAAATTCTTTTGTTTCTTTTGTTACCCGGAGGAATCGCTCACTCATGCGTTACACCAACTCGCTGGGGGAGGGGGGGATATGAAATAAACCGAGCAAGCTGATGGTTACCATATGGAGCGGTGTATCTTGCATCTTGAATCATTGGTTTCAAAGTCAAACGTGTAATTTACATGGGTGTGGCTCTTGCGATGGGGAAATACATACACTGTACGGGGACTATTCACTTTTCTCCGCACTACGTCTTTTACGCATGTTGTCTCCGTGTTGCTATGTCTGCGGCTGTAGTTCTCGTCCATCGAATCATTTGAACATGTATATACATCTATCTATACCTTCCCACTCGAGCATATCAAGCTTTACTCTTGTATCTCTTTACTGTGTGGTATGTTTATGTAAGTGTACACGTATATTATACCCGTTACGTGAGGATACTGTGTTAACGCACTTTGAGCTTTCCGTTACGTCGAGTTGAGTGTGAACGAAAATTGTGTAAACTTGCTTCCTTTTGCGAGTCCTTTGTCATATTATTGATGAAGGAAAAAGGAGATGGGAAATTTTTTTTTTTTTAGTGTACCACTGTGTTGGAAAAATATGTGTTTCGTTGGTTTCGAACGTCTTTGTTGTTTCCGTGTTTTTACACGTAATAGGCGCGACTCGAAAAATCATGCTGGGTAATATAAAGTATAAATGTCTTTTAAGATAACTTTCAACTGCTTATTGCGATTCCTTGTATACATATCTTTGATCCGTAACGTTGCATATCAGAGTAGAGACACATCAAGGTATGATTTGACAACTTTAGTCATTAAATTGTAGACAATAATAAAGTAATATTTTAGATTGGATATACACATGATTAAATTAAAGACAATAAAATTTTTATCAAGTATTGGTTCATTGATGGCAGTAAGAACAAAAAAAAAGAATTTTTAAATCTATACGCAATTAGAGGTAAAAAATATTGATCCAGTGATACGTACATATATATATATATATATATATATATATATGTATATA